CTTGTGGACTTGAAGAAATTGGATATGACCTGCTGTGGCTAAATTTGTTTGGAAATCTTTGAGAAATCATGGCCCTCTGAGACATGACTTGCTAGGCGAAATGCACTTAATGGGTAACCCCCACCCAGGGAGACAAGGACAGACTCACCTTACCTTGCTTTGCACAACGCAGAACTCCTCAACCCACTCCAAGGACCACAGGAGACCCTCGAAGCTGGACCCCTTGATGCCCAGTTCGGAGACTAAGCTCAACAAGTCCTCAAACTCGCAGCAGACCTAAGTCCCAGTGGACCTGGATACTGAAGCAGCCTCCCTCTCTGTGTGCTAGGGTGTCTCATCCCCATCCCCTAGAAATGACTTCATTAAATGCTGTGAATCACTGAGCATTTGCATCTTTTCTGGAGCAGGGCAGCCTAGGGGCCCCAGCTTCCTCCTCCCTGACCCCATTCTGGGCCTGGGCCCTCTGCTACAGCACTATAACGTTCTGTTTGTTCTAGAAGCAACCATTGTTGGAGAACCAAAGGCCATAGTGGACCCAGGAGGGTGGGGAGAAAAGTCCTTCCAAAGCAGGAGCCAGGGAGACAAACTCCTTCCAGACCTCTGGAAGAAGTGAGACCACCAGAGGCCAACTCTATTGTGAGATGTAAGAGAGGCTGAAACTTTCCACCTGCCCCCAAACATCTATTGTACTTGAAATGTCTTCTTTCAAGTTTGTTTTTCTGTTTCTAGGGAAGAAAAAGACTTGAAGCCTGCCTGTGGGGATCAGTTACATGTTAGTGTGACATACCCTTATCAACCAGAGCTAGGCTTGTTAAGGGTGTGGTTTTGGGCAAAGATATGCTAACAGCCAACTTCAGCTTCTGTAATCTGCTTGCTCGTTTGATGTTAACTAGGGTGTGGTTAATCTGTTTGTTTGATGTTAAACCAGGGTGTGGTTCTAGGCTTTATGAGCTGCCTCTTTTGGGAGCTCAGGACTGATCTCTAACCCTGTATGGTAGAGAGTTAGTCGGGGGGCCAGCTAATAAAGGCTCATCATTAATCTCAATTGGCTCCGTGGGTCTTAGAATCGTTCGCGCCATAACAGGCTGAGCCTGCCATGTTGTATTCAATGTAGCCGGGGACAGGAAAGCCGATGGGACTAGGGGAAGGAGTCTTTCACAGAGAGTCAGAAGCCCTGGGTCCTAGCTACAAGCATTCTGTATGACCTTGGATGACTCGAGCAACCTCTCTAAGCTTCAGTTTCCTCATATATTCCATGTAGAGCTTGACCTCTTTGATGCTAAGTCCCTTTTCAGTTCTAACATGTCTGAGTCAAATATGACTCAGGCCAGGAGATGAGAAAGGAGAGAGAAAGCAGGAAAGAGAGAGAAAGACAGCAAGGAAGAAGACTGTGATGGGGAAGAGCAGAAAGTCTCCAAGAGTGGACTCAGGACCTGCAGATCCTGATAGAAGACTTCAAGCTATCTGGACTGCTGTCCGGAACAGGACTAGCTCCCCTGTATGCCTGCAGGACTCAGACTTAGGTAGTCGAGGGCCAGGAAGGATCAGGTACCTGGTCAGTTCAGAAGTTATAGAACTCATAGGGAGTGAAGGGGACCAAAATTGGGACCAGACTCAGACAGTTCAAATAATGGACCAAAGAATCTTCTGCAGTCTCCTTGCCTACTGCCCAGAGCTTAGACAAATGAGCATGTCCCCCTCGAGCAGGAAGCCGAGGCCTGGGGAAACCCAGAGAAGGTTCAGGTGGGGTAGAGGAAGCATATTGGCCTTTTTCCCCAGGGTTGGCCACCTCACACCAGCCCCTCACACACAAACCTCAGCTCTGGCTGTGCCCGAGACTCTAGCTGGACCTTGGCATTCCCACTCAGGGTTCAGCCAAGCAGAGCCCCGCACAAGCCTCACCCTTGATAGGTGGGCCTGCTCCAGAAGCCATGATTGGCCCACACCTCTCAGATCTCCCTGTTCTCTCAGCAGAGCTCCACCAGGTCCTCTGTCCCAACCCTGCTGGCTCCAGCACAGTAGCAATAGCCTTCCATCCCCTCTGCCTTGCCCGCAGCCCCAGGAAGCATGGGGCTTGATCCCGCTGGCTCCTGAGCTGCCATTGGTGGGTGGAACCCAGCAGAAATGGCTTTGCGTGTGGCTACCTCGGGTCTCCCACTCATGCTCAGATCCAACTGTGCACCCAGGTCAGAAAGCATCTTCACAGGAGTGATGGATATCATAGAGGCAGGAGGGACATTAAAACACTACACATAGTTCAGCTCTTTATTGCCTTCATGGGTGGGTGAAGAGAGGCAAGAGGTGGGTGAAAGAGTAGTGCCTCAGCTGAGCTGGGTCAGAAGGGAGCAGGGGCAGGGGGTTACTGAGGAATAAGGATGCAGACACTTGCATGGGCCCCACCCCTCGGGCCTCCCTCCCACACCACCTTCTCTGATCATGCTGGGGGTGGGTCCTGGGTAAAAGGTCGGAAGGTGAAGAAAATGGGCTGGTCAGGCATCAGGATGAGGTTGAACATTGTGCCCACGTCATTGAGATGTTGGATTTCAACTCTGAAATTCTCCAGAATCTGAGAAAGAGGGGTGGTGGACTTAGGGGAAAAGTAGGGAAGGCCTGTCTCCCCTGAGCCAGGCTCATTCACCTGTTGAGCAGTGCCTGTTGAGTATGATTTGAGGAGCTCTAAGAGGTCCATGCCAGCTCCTACTTAACCCTGCAGAGCGCCTGAAAACACACCACTAGTACTGTTCCCTTGATTCAGGCTTTCACTTCACTTTCTACAAAACTTTATCCCATTCTACCCTCATCACATCACCCCTGTAGAGGAACAGATGGCTGGAGACACCAATAGGTGATAAGTGGATTAGCCTAAAAAAGGAGGCAGCAGGGAATATTGGGGGAGGGCTCTGGACAGCGATGGCCCATGCCTTCATCAAGGCCGGGGCCACCCAGGGTTCTCGGATGCTCCCAGGCTAGACTCACATGGATGAGGAAGAGGGTCATCTCAACTTCTGCGATCCTCCGGCCCACGCACTGCCGAATTCCCCAGCCGAAGGCCAGGTGGCGGAAGTGGGTGAGATCTTTGTTTTTACCCAGCCATCGAGTGGGGTCAAATTTGCTGGGATTGAGGAAGAAGTTGGGGTCTCGGCCCAAGGTATAAGTAGACACCTGTACCAATGTCTGGGGACAAGGTTAGCAGAGGTCTGAGTAGACCTCATTTCTTCACAGTCTAGAGCATAACCCAGCTTCCCCACTCCCGCTCCCCAGCTTGGCTGCTCAGCTCTCCAGCACAGACACTGCCCACTGTGTGACCTTGAACAAGACCCCAACCCTCCCTGAGCCTCACTCAACAAGCATTACTGAAGCCATTAGGGAAGGGATGGCCTAAGGGATTGTCCTGCCCTTTCCTAAGCACCAAACGGTCCTGAGACCCAGGTAGCCTGTAGGGTCTCCCTAGGAACCCTGGGATCCAGCAACAGTCCAGAGGTCATCACCTACTGTGACTACTACCTTTGCCCTTCATTCAAACTTTGCTGCTGCCAAGGACTCACCAGCCAGCTCCAGGAAGAGAGGCGGTACAGAAGCTCCATCACCACCATCTGCAGTCTGCCCCCAACCTCTGTTTGACTGACGGAGCCTGCAGCCCTCCTGCCACACTTACCTTGGCGGGAATCATATAATCTTGTAGAACCAAGTCATTTACTAGGTATCTCTGCAGGGTCACGGAGATGGGGTGGAGTCTGTCAGAGGAAGGCATTCAGAAGTTAATGCCCAGAGGCCAGGACAAAGCGCCCCAACCCCCATGTCATCTCAGCCCCAGCTGCAGCAAGGGCAGGGCGGATCTGGAGGCAGGACCCTGACTCTACCCCTCCTCCCCATTCTGAGCTGTCTTTCCAGGATTCTCACTTCCTGCTACCAATCTCCTCCTTGTAACCCTGTCCCCAGGCACCACGCTGGCCCTGCCCAGGATTTGGGCAGGCATAGGTGGGTGCAGGCTTGCCTCAGTGTCTCCTTGATGCTAGCTTTTAGGAGTGGGACCAACTGCAGCATCCTGTTCATGTCTTCCCCGGCCTGGCGCCGGGCAGCCAGAACCTCCTCCCGCAGCATCTCCTGCACCGTCAGGCTGCGTGCCATCTCGTACAAGTGCCACTGCAATGTCATGGATGTCTGGCAGAGAGTATCGGGGTGCAAAAGACCAGAAGGGCCTGTCACTCCTGAGGCACTTAGACCCATGCTAAATTTTCATTTCCAAGAACCTCTCCCCACTCTTATCCTAGTATCAGCAAAAGCAACTGTCCAAGAAGCCTTTCTCCCACCCAGGTGGGAATGTTTGGGACAGCACATGTCCCAGCCCTCATCCCTCATATCACCAGAGTCCACCATCTCCCCAGCCAGCAGAGGGCACCCATACAGCCAATGCCTTCTTCTAAAGGACTGCAGAGGCCTTCGTAGATCAAAGCCCACTTCTGTAAATTGTCCTCTGACTGACTGACATTCCTTTTGTTTTTGTTTTTGTTTAGTTTTGTTTTGTTTTTTAAAAATACAGCACCTGGTATTCCTAGGTGGTACTAACCAGGCCTGACCCTGCTTAGCTTCTGAGATCAGACAGACATTCCTTTAGAAATGCCAGTTGAACAAGCAACCCTGTCCCTAACAGAACGTTCCCAAGCCTTAACATTTTATCTATAGCAGCAAAGCAAAATGGAAGGCTCACAGGTACAAAATGAGAACAATCAGACCTGGTTCCTGTCCGTGTTGTAGTTAGCATGTGGTATATACTGAGATTAACCAGCTAATCTCAATATTAGCAGGGGGTTGTGACTATTAGCCCTTCATCAAGCCTCACTGTCGCAGATTCCTCCATGGCAGGACCCCAGGCTGGCACAGCCCTCCTTCCTAGGGCTAGTACACAGGTTGTCGCATATTATCTTACCAAAGATCACATTTTTGTCCAAGAGGTTAAGACATTCTCCTTGTTCCTTCTAGAAGGAGCAATTATGAAAAAGTGCTACCCAGTCACTTCCCAGTTTGAAATCCTTGCCTGGCTTCCCATATCTTCCAGATCAAATCCAGAGGCTCTGGCCTGACCTATGGAAACCCCCAACACCTGCCTGCTACTTCCAGCTCCATCACCACCTGTCTCCAACATGCACCTAATGCTCTAGCTGCAGTGAGCCACATGCAGCTTCTGAAGCCCAGAAATTCTTCCTCACGCAGTTTCCTCTTCCCAGAATTCCCTTCCCAGCCTAGGAAGCCAATCAAGACTCAGATCAAACGTATGTAGTTGTTTCACTACCTACAAGGCCCAACAGAGTGGCTACTCAGGAAATACTTATTTATTAAAGTAGTCAAATAAGTTACTAGCTGTGTGACCTTAACTAAGTTATTTAACCTCTCTGTTCCCCAGTTTTCTCATCTGAAAAAGGAGGATAATAGTAACATACCTCATAGTTTTGTTTGTGAATACTAAATGCATTAATACATGTGAAAAGCTTAGAACTTTGCCTGCCATATAGTATGTACTCAATAAATGTTACCTAACAATAAGAGCTGCTTTGGTGCAGGGGAACATTTTTTGGAGATTTACACAGAACTGGCAATGAACTATGTTTGAAATACGCTCAACGCCTCCATCTGCAGCCTGTCACAGGGACTGAAAGTCCTTCGTCAGAGCACAACATAAATGAGATACCTAGGAAATAGAGTTATTCACCCAGGAGACTTTGACATAAGCTTCTCCCTAGTCCTGAAATGCTATTCCTCTTCTCTCCTCCTGGCGACAGTATTCAAGACACAGGTTGAATTTTCGCTCCTCTATAGAGCACTCTTCCTATCCTGCAAGGTCATATTAGTCTCTCCCAGTATTGTTAGTGCCCGGTGCAGACCTGCTCACCCTGCCCCATAACACGGTGTGGCGGTCATTGGTGCACATGCTGCCTGCGTGTTATGGGCTGAATTGTTTCCCCAAAATTCATGTTGAATTCCTAACCCCCAGTACCTCACAATGTGCCTATATTTGGAGACAAGGTGTTTAAAGAGGTAATAAGGTAAAATGAGGTCACTAGGGTGGGCCCTAATCTAATAGGACGGATATCCTTATAGGAAGAGGAGATTAGGACACAGACACACACAGAGGGAAGACCCTGTAAAGACTTAGGAAGAAGACGGCGTCTACACACCAAGGAGAGGGGCCTCAGAAGGAACCAGCCCTGTTAACACCTTCATCTTGGACTTCCAGCTCCAGAATTGTTGAGAAAATTAAATGTCTATCTATTGTTTAAGCTACCCCATGTGTGGTACTTTGTTATGGCAGCCCTAGCAAACTAATATACTACTCTTCTCTGAGCCATTTGAAATATTTGGGGTGTACCGTGTGCATCTTTATTGTCTCAGTTCCTGAAATCATAACCAATAATCAATAAACACTAAATAAATAACCCTCCCTATCACATTAGTATGAGAAAGAGAAAGGGATGGTACACAGGAAGATAGGTTTTGACGTTCAAGAGAACTTTCTGTGGTATTGTGCTGCCTGCGGAGAGGGCCTAAGGCTCCGGAGACACCACAGAAGATGCCCATCTGCTCTGCTCTCAGGAGCACCATGGGGGAGGATGAAAGACATAAAAAGATCCTAGAAGAGAGAATGCAGGGTAAATTCCACTGACTCCCAGCTTTTCTGAGTTCCTGCCAGCCTTCCTAAATCCAGTGAGCTGTGTCCCCTACCGGTGACTGAAAGGCTTCTCCTTTAAAGACTCCACACAGAACCAGGGCCCACGACACCCACGCCTAGTCACCCCCTTCTCAAAGGCAAGGAAAAAACGGTGGACCAGCCACAAGGCATGCTCCACGGGCAACTGACTTGACCTTACCCTCCCAGGAGATGAATATTTAGGAAATGAAGTCCAGAGAGGGAGATCTACCCCATGTGGGCAAGGTTTCCGATGAGGCAAGCTGGCGGGGGAAGGGGCACAAGAGCACACCTCACCGTGTCCACACCCCCAGCCAACAACTCCGTAACATTGGCCTTGATGTCCTCGAAGAGCAGCTTGTTGTTTTCCAGGAGGCGGTAGAGGATGCCCGGGTAATTGTCGTTGAAGTCTTTTTTCTTTCTGAGGTCCAAAGAGAAGTTCTGGATATATTTTTCAGCTGTGTGGCAGGAAAGAGGAAAGAAAACAATAGTCTCTCTAGGTGGGAAGGAAGGAACAGGCCCTTAGCGAGAGATAGACTTGGGGATTCTGGATCCCTGTGCTTTCTAGGCTGCCATTTTATTGAACACATACTGTCTGCTAAGCCTTTCTTATCTGATTCTTCATTTAATTCTTGACCACAGCTCTATGGGGTAAGTGATATCCCCATTTTACAGGTAAGGAAACAGAAGTCCACAGAGTAGTGACTTGCCCAAGGTCAGGTGGGTGTTGGGCAGAGGTGGGATTTGACTCCAGGTCTGGCATCCCCAATCAGCTTTCTCTATGCTACTTTACTAATCTCTCTTGCCCAAGTCCCAATCTGTCACCAAGCACAGCCAGGTCTGAAACACTAGTCCTTAACTCATGTTGGGGATCAAGGGTACCTAGAAAGAATATGATGGACACCTTTGATCTTATTCTTCATAAAAATTTAATCACCAACAGCTGGCCTTCAACTCACCATCTCGGAGCTTCCGGGCCCTTCCTGATGCCCATCCCTGCCCATCAGAGGGTGGGTTTCCTACATGGCAACTCAGTTGTCCATGGACATAACTTGGAACAAAGAGGCAGGCTTCTTTTTTGTTTCCATCTGTGTCTTTCTTGCTCTCTCTCTCTCTGCCCACCCAGGCCTGGGTTTCCTACCCACTAAGGTAGACAGGGCTCTCCGGGCCCCCAGACTGAGCTGCCTAGGGTACAGCCAGAGAAATCCTCACCTCTACTGAAAATCACGTCCCATGCGGCCGCATGATCCCGCCACGTCTTGGTCCTGAACAGACGGAACAGGTCTGGGGGGAGCATGAGCATGGGGACGCTGGTGTGGAACATCTGGTAAATGGCGTCAATGAACTGCTGGGACTCAGGGTCCACTATCTCCTCCAGTATCCCTAAACGCTCTCCAAATATGACATTGGTGATAGCTGCAGGGATAGGCACAGGCTGAAGAGTCCTTTATAATCTGAACATCCGAGAACCTAAGCTCCCAGGAACTCCACATCCACCTCCACCAACACATAGGATCTCATGCACCTGACTTCAGTCTCCTTCAGTAAAAAAACTGAGGCCTGAGGTCCATGGGGCTGAAACTGCAACCATTCAGGTCCTTCAGAGTGCCAAGTGGAAGATCCTCAAAAGAGATCATTTGGGTTGGGAATCGGTCTCCAGCAGAGCTGGAAGCGAGTCCAGGCGGAGATGAAACTGTCCTACCCACCCTTCCACCAGCACCCCAAGCATCCAGGCTTTTCTCCTGGGAAGAGAGATTTCTCATCTATAATTGACCTCATTGGCTAAATACTTCCTGAAACAGGCCAAATGGGAGACTTGGAGACATAAAGCCCTGGTAATTGGCCATCCAGGACCCACTCTGCCTGGACCTAAGAAGTCACAACAACCCCAACTTTTTCCCACCTGTGGGGTTGGGAATTTGAATGCTGATTTCATACCAAACTCTCATACCAGATCTCCTGCAGTGATCACATGATCTCCATCAAGCCATAGATCTTTTGCATGTGCTGTTTCCTCTGCCTCTACTGCCTGACCTCTTTGCCCTACCTGAATAACTCCTACCCATCCTTGAACATCCAATTCAAATTAGCCACCCAGCCCGCAAAGATCTATGACCCAGGAGAGATTTGCAGAGTGGAGGACTGAACCACACTCTGGGTTTTGGATAGTGGCAATGGAGACCTACATTTTGGAGACTCTTGCCTCCACAGCATGAATGCCAGATGAGAGTGTGCAGCTCCCCCGGGTAGCTGATGGCACAGGGTGTGTTCAACAGCTCATCCCAAAAGCCAGTCCTAAACTCTTCTTCAGATGGGACTCTGGGTTCTCCCACCCCCAAGACCATTGCCAGGTAGGTACAAGCCTCTTACACTCAAAGGCAAAGCGAAACAAGTCATTACTGAAGTCCCCTGAGAACTTTCCAGAGCCCTGCTGCTCGATGCGCCTGTGCAGGATGCTGACGAAGTCCCGGGACACTGGGTCCAGCAGGGAGACGAAGTTCTTCATGGCTTCTGGAGCCATCACCTCCGGGTTTAGGGCCAGCCGGTCTTTTTTCCAGGCTCCTGACTTCCTGAGGAAACACAGGCCCTCGGGCCCTCATGGTCAAAAATTCCAGCCTCCACAAACACAGAGGGAGCTGACTGGGCTCTCCCAGGAGGTTGAGCCAGGTTCAGAGTCCAGCACTCACATCTACCTGCCCTCACCTCCTCCCAACACTCTCTTTCTCACACCAGCTCCCTGCTGCTGTGGGGCCTGAGGGAGGAGACAGGAAGAAAGCGATGAAGGAAAACAAAACCTGACCACCCACCCCTGCTGCTGCAAGCCAAGAACTCGGTCTTAGAAACTTTAAGTCTCTTTCAAGGCCCCTAGTCTTTGCCTGAGTTGCAAGTATTCCTTCCTCTCACTTCCCCTTCCTCCTGGCCAATGCTTACCTCCTGCCATTTGAAGACCCTATATGTTACCTTCTCTGATCCCTGCACAGACACAACTGACCAACCTCTCCACTGCACCCCTGGTGTATCCCATTATTCACGTTGGTGGAGAATCTCAGGTACCCAGAATTGGATTAATGATAAACCTCAGTTCTTACTATGCCCACCTGGTACTCCCTGGCTAAGGGGACTGTCAACCCAATTCCTTTGTTTGCTTTTGTATATATTTTTATCTGATTGACATATATTTCTAAAACATACTTCTTAAAATGTATGCTTATTTTCAGCTTCTTAAAAGAAGCTGTCATGCCTTGGGGGATTTGCTTTTTTCACTCAATTTTATCTAAATATGATCTGTATTGTGAGTCACTTAGTTTGTTCATTTGGAGTGGTATATGCCACCACTCACCCATTCATGCTCCTGTTGGGCATTAAGTTGTTTCTGGGTTTTTGCGCTTTTGAATGGCACTATTGCCAACATTCCAGTACCTTCCTCCTCAGGCGGGCTGTTTTATGGAGTATATCCCTGAAAACAGAACTACTGCATCATAGGTATGTGAGTATTCAACTAGGAGGTAGTGTTCAACCATTTTCTAACGTGATAGCACCAGTTTTCACTCCCACTCACAATCTATGAGAGTTCTAGTTGATCCATATCCTCACCAACACTTGATAGGCTCACATTTTAAAGTTGTGATGAGCAATTTAGTGGAAACCAGTATCCCCTACATCTAAATATGCCAATTTATCTTATGTTTTACTGTCCCTTTAGACTGTGAGGAACTTGCGGTGGCAGGGCCCTGCCCTACTTGTCATTAGTCCTTGTACTTAGTACAAGGCCTGGCACATAGTAGGTGCTCAATAAGATGGGACTTAATGAATGAACCAATGAGAACTTTGCAAAGTCTTTACTCATTCAGATCTTCAGCCTAACCATGTCCCTGATGGTTGGCACAGCTGTTTACCATCATCATCATCTGTTTTAGGGAGGCAGAAAGATGATAGGGATTTTCCTAAAGGCCCCAGATAGAAAAGGCAGGGTAAATGTGGCTCCAGCTCCTCACCCCAGCCTTTGTCTTCACCACAGCTGCCTATCATCTCTCTCTGCCCCTGAGAAATGACCCAGTACTCACTTGAATAAGACTCCGATGGGTCTCTGGTAATGCTGGTGATAGGCAACCCAGGGCGGGATGAAATATCGTTCTGGTGTGGAACCCTCATACTTAAAAAGAATGGCTATGTCCTCAGGGTCAACGATAAAAACCGACTCCATGGTGCCAAGCTTCTCCCTGGAGGGAAGAAGAAGAGGGCCTATGATGTAAGGATTCAAGGAGAGCCTTGCAGACCCTGTGCAATCAGGACAGGAGTCTCGACTCATTTGTAACCACCTCATGGCTGAGAGCGCAGAGCAGATGGGCCTAGAAGTGGATCTTGTTTCTACAGCCTTCTCACTGGCTCTCACTCCCTCTGAGTCTCAGTTTCCTCTTTCATAAAACTGAGAAAAATACAATGCCTATTTCACGGGGTTGCCAAAGGATAAGATGATATAAAGTCTATGGATATGACTCCTATGAGGCATTCTATAAGTGACAGATTTACGCTCCTCATATTATCACATTGGCTGCTGCTGTACCACAGCATGTCCCCTAGGACCAGCCCCACCCCCACCCCGGCCTTCCAAGGACTATCAAGTCCTCCATCCCATGCCACTCCCATGCTCACTCTTCCTGTGTGTTCATACCCTCGGCACTCTCTCAACCACTACGTAGCTCAGAAATAGCACCTTCATGTCAGGAGTGACCCTGTACTGGAATGACGGCATGTAGCTTGCTAGGCAGGTCATACCCTGGGCCAGTCAATCCTTCCTAGACTCCAGGATTAAAATTCTGGGAGTGGCCACCTTGTCTCCGAGAGTCAAAGGTCTGACAAAGCACTTTGTCTCTATTAAAATAACACTGCCCCAGGTACAGATTGTTGAAGTAAGAAATGTCCAAACCTGTAGAGAATTTTTATAAGAGTTTATTTGAGCCCAAACTGAGGACAGTTGCTAGGAAATAAGATCTAAAATGCTCCGGATAACAAGTTTTGCAGTTTCTTTTATGCATTTGAAATTATAGAGGGAATCTCCCCATTCTCCCTCCCCCTCCCATCTCCTCCCTACCCCTTTCCTCCCTCCCCGCTTTCCTCCCTCTCTGAAAGATGAGGGGGGAGAAAAGAGAAGGGAGGAGGAGGAGAAGGGAGGAAAGCGGAGCACTGCTCAACCACTGACCTATAAACCCTGGGCCTACTTTCCCAAATCTCCCAGAAAATCCCCTCAGTGTTTTTCTAGTTACCACATGTCCTCGCACCACTAGCTCCATAACCCTACCCTGGAGCAAAGTCCTTGAACTGCTATTATTATTATCAATTCCACTTCTGGGAATCTAGCCCAAGGTAATGATCTGACAGGGGACAATGATGCCTAATAGATGAGGAGGTTCATTATGGTGTCAGGTCTAATAGCAAGAAAACCCAGAGTGGGCTAAATGTCCACTTCAAAGAACTGGCTAAAAAAAATATGGTTTATCCATGTTATCAACTTCAATGCTGCTTTTTAAAACTATACTAAAGAGAGAAAAGAGGAAAGAAGTCCTCAATATATGCCGTGAGACAATACCAAACAGTATATATAATATATTCACATTCCTAACTGTACATAAATATTACCAAAATTGAGATTGTATCTAGTTTCAGTTTTCATTTGTGTTGTCTGTATTCTCCAAATTGCTCTATAAATATGAACAGTAACAGCCTTTGTATTAAAAAAAAAAAAAACTATGAAAGTTATATTCTAAATTCTTTGCATTTATTCAGAATTTTATCATTTCCAGGTTATATGTTAGAATATAATGATGACACGTTGAACTAGAAGTCAGACAGTTGGAGTTCCAGCCCTGCCTTTGCCCTGAGGAGCTGTATGACCTTGGCAAGATTCTTCTCTCTGGGCCTTAATTTTCCCATCTATAAAACAAGGATTATAACACCAACTTTGAGAGCATGCTACAAAGCTCAAATGAAAGTGATTCAGAAAACAGAAAGCAGGGGACTAGGAAGCAGGGACTAGCGAGAGATCACTGAAGTGAGGTTGGGGACAGAGGCACTGACAAGCCTAGGGGCCAGGGAGAGAGAGAGAAGAAAGAGGAGAGACTGGGAACAACCTTCCTCCAAGCATGCTCAGCCTGTGGCCTCCCGGCCTCCAACCAGCTGTGAAAAGGCACTTGAGACTTCAAAAGGAGTTGTGGGAGGAAGTGAGCAGCTGGACCCCTACACAAACAAGCCAGCCCTCCTGCCCCTACCCAACCCAGCCAGTCAGCCAACACGTACAAAGACGCCCTTTTCCCATCTTGATCATTTCATTCAAAGTAAAATGCACTGTTCCTCCTGATATTCTGGCCCTGCCCCAACTACCACCTTCTATACCTCCCACCCTCCTCAACTATGTTCTCAGAAAAAGAACCCAGGTGTGCCACCCACCATAGAAACTGCTAAACCAGAACAAGCAAGGCCTACCACCGAGGGCAGCCCGCAGATACCTGTGCCTATTCCCCACTGCAAGGGAGTGGCAGTGCTCGGAGGCTAAAAGACTAAAGCCCCTTCTTCCTGGCAGGAAGCAAAGGCAGATGCTTGGGGAAGAAAAGCTCTAGCCACCCAAGTGAAAGAGACAAAATCAGCTGCTCCAGAGCTGCACAGGGCTGAAGGGTAAGGCCAACACTCTAGGAGGACAGGGATCTAGCTGGGTGACCAGGGCAAGAATTCTAGCCTCTCTGAGCTTGAGTATCTTCTAATGATGGGGATGATAAATGTACCTTCCAAGAGGTCCTGAAGATAATGGATGTAGGGAGGCAGTTAACAGGGCTTGTTCTCTTATCAACCTCCCACTACCCCCCATAAAGTTTCAGAGGGTGTAGGAACTGAACCCACTGTTTGGAAGCCTTATCTCCTGCCACCATCCTCAGGCAAGGAATAGATAAAGTCAGAATGTGGACAACAGCCTGCAGTGGGCAAACAGACCATTTGGGGAGCAGGAAGCACAGCAGGGCTGCTCAGGCCCTTCTACCTCCCTATCCTACCAGCTCCCACTCTCTGCCAGGCTTACCTGTAAATAGGGCCGTATTTCTGGAAGTTCTGGAATTGGTGGTAGTGGAAATTCTGTGAACCCTTCTCTCTCCAGAAACGGTACAGATTTAGCCAGCCGTTGTCACCAGGAGAGGGTATCTCACTGAAAGGGCGAGGGACTCGAGTGGAAATGCGGGCTCCCTCTCTAGTGGGCATCCTGAGATGCCATGGGCCCTCCTGTGGGGCACTCAAGAGGGGCTGGCAGCCTTTGACCAAGACTGAGCGCAAAGGAAGCCCCCGGGCCAGCATTCTGTCCGCACGACACCCACTGCAGCAAAGCCTGACAGGGGACTCTGGCCCTGAGCTCCTGCAGCCAGATTATAACTGCCAGCTCAAGGTTAAGGGAGAAGTTGACACAGCGGTCAACTGCCCTCCCCCTTCTGTTGGCTCCCGTCCCCACACAACCCCTCCCAGACTAGGGCACCAAGGCTCAGTCTGGAATTTCTGTAACCATAGAGGCTTTCCAAAGCACAAGGAGGACCCTCTGTCTCTGTCCTCAGTGCCAGCCCCAGCAGATCCCTGAGATGATACAGAAATGGTACAGATTTGTGCTTTTCTTTTACTGGGGCGTCCTGATGACCCCTTCAGTGGGACCCAGCTGCTGGCAAACATCCATCAGGATGTACCAACACCTTGGGTTTGGGGTTCATAAGGAGGGGACTGAGAAGAGGTTGGAGTCACCTTGCAGCTTTGGGACAGCGTATATCTTAATTACAACCCTATTATTTATATATAACTGTTTTTGTATAATTCCCTGATTTTTAAAGTTCTACTTTTTCTGCTAGCAGAAAAAAAATCCTGTATTTTCTGAAATGTTATAATAGGCAGTTGCTATTATTACTTTTAAAGATACTACTAACTATAAAAATAAACTAAATTACAGTCATATTTGCTCATTGTAGAACACTGAGGAAAAGGACAAACAGGAAAAATTATGGCCTCTTGCATCTTAAATATTGAGTGAAAGAAGCCAGACACACAAGAGTACGTGCTGATTATGAATGAAAGAGGAGTCTGTGGAAAGTAATCTCACTGAGCGATCTGATCATAAATTCCTAAGTGGGCAGGTCATGGTGAGTAGTCATCACCTCACATAATTTCCTTAATAAAAAGTTTATCTTTGCCTTAAGTAAGCCCTGCACATTGTTTCCGTGCATCTAAGTTAACACACATTCAAAATGCCTCTTTTCAGAAGAGAGCACATAATCTCACTATCTATAATCCAATGCCTGCCTTGCTTTCTCCCACCTTCCTGTAATCTTCCTAACGGTCCCTCCTTAATTCCAAATGCATAAAAGAAGCTGCAAACTAACACTTTGAGAAGCATTTTTCTCAGTTTGTTGAGATCTTGCTTCCAGACATATCCTGTTTGCCAAAATAAATTTTCATAAAAATTCTCTACAGGTTTGGACGTTCTTACGTCAACATGTTGGATTTCACTTTAATGAAGTTCAAGAATCAGCAAAATGAATTTACGGTGTTAGAAGTGGTTCTCGTAGGGAAACGACTGGGAGAGGGCATGAAAGAGCTTTCTAGGGCACTGGGAATGCTTTCTGTCTTGATCTGTGTGTTTACTCATGTAAAAAATCACCTGAGGTATAAACCTTTGATATTTGCATTTTATGAAATGTTACCACAGTAAGAATGCAAAAAAAAAAATCATCTTTTCTAACAGATAAGTTGTCAAATTCACCTTCTCAGTGGATGACTTGGGCTTCACCAATAAGACAACCCCCAGTGACATTCTGGATGAGAAGGTAGTCACATGAGGAAGCAGGCACCATGTGAAACCATTTCTGGCATATGTGGTGACAGAGATCTCCAGCCTGGGATAGCTGCAGCATGCGAGCCTTGTGGGGGTCGATGAGTTGCCACTGAGGCAGCCCTGAGATGTAATTTGGTTGGTATTCCTGACACCTTGGCATCCAAGCCTGATCATCTTCCCTCCTGGAGATCTTGTGGAACTGTATAGTATCCCTTGGTAAATCCCTTCCCCGTAAAACATTAACTGAAGTGCATTCCGTTCTTGACAACCCAAAACTCAGTGATACAATGGTAATGTTAACCTAAAAATAAAAGGCCTTTCAAAGTAAAAGACAACAAACATTTCTTGAGATCAATAAGAATAACTATTGAGGACACACGGATTTCAGGCAGGAGCCAACATAGTGTTGCAATTAGGAGACAAAGGCAATGGGTATCTTTGAGAAAGGGAAGGGGAACTTTGCATCAATAGAAGAAAGGAATTGATGCAGATAACATAACCTAAACAGTGATATTAATTTTAAACAGAGTTGTTAATTTTCAGCCCAATAGTCATCAGTCTGGTAGTCAACTGCTTTCTTATCTTCGCAAACAGTTCTTTAGGACAAAATGTTGACCTAGGCCCTGTCCAAAGGTTATTTTGCTCTGTTTTTAACATTCCAAGGTTTGAGGCATAAGACATGCAAGGCAGTCCCTCTGGGATGGCAACTCCGGCTTCGTTTTAAAGTGGGCCCATTTATACATCGTTTATAGTAAACACTAATTATATTGCTTAATTCTATCGCACTCCTGTATGTCAAACATTGTTTGCACCTAAATTAATACAACTAAGTTGGATCCTTTTGTATCGCTCTATTTTTAATTTATACTCCATAAGGTTCAACTCATTAAGGGAACATTCTAAGATCCAGAGAGAAAGTCTCATGACAGGTAGTATTTGATGGAAAGAGTAGGGCAAAAAGGTTTATAATGGAGACTGCCACTGTAATACCTGTGGTTTCACCCTGAGGTAAACATAAACCCTGTTAAAAAAACATTTGCTTCTAGTCCTTTTCTAATTTATTCTTTTCTGTTTTCTTTTTTCTTCTTCTGAGTGGTCGAAATTTTACTTATTTATTTATTTATTTTTACTACGATGGATAGTTTTGTCCAAATAATTTATACAGATAATTTCAGAATCCAAAACATATCAGCCAGAGAAGCAGACCCACCCAGATTGGAAATAATTTTCCATCCTTTGAAAATAATGTTTGAAAGCGTAGCTGCATTGTCTTGCACTTCCTAGAACTGCTGTTGAAAAGTCCAAAGCCATTCTGATTCCTGAAACCTTGCATTGGTCCTCCTTACTCCCCTCTAGTCACTCCTAGGGACTCCTCTTTATTTTGGCTGCTTCAAATTTCCCAATTCATCTTGCCACATCAGTCCTTGGACTAGATATTTGGTAAGCCCTTTTAATCTAGAAACTCATGTCCTCAAATTTCTGGACATTTTTTTGTATAATTTATTTCATAATTTCTCCCTTCTACGTCTCTTTTCTTTGTTTCTGGAACTCCTATTATTCATATGTGAACTTCCTGGATTTATCTTTTATTTACTTTTTCTTTTCTCTCCTATATTACATTTGTCTTTCATTCCAGCTAATGAGAGATTCCCTACTTCAGCTTCTAATCTCTCTATTGCGATTTTTATTTCCGCTATCTGTTTTTAATTTCCTATGGACTTCACCTATATCTGGGTGTAGACATAATACAAACATGATAGTTTCTCAAAACTTTCTGAAGATATAAATTATAAGATTGTTTTCTAATTGTCGGGTTTTATTTTTTTATTTTTGGCTTTTGTTCTCTGTATTGTCCCTGTTTCCTCTGAGTTTCTTTTTCTGTTTGTTTTGATCCCTGTCTTTGATGATAGAAGTTCCCTCAAATGTCTACTGATTTTTGGCAGTCCATTGGGAGTCTTGCCTAGACTCCAAAGTTAAGAGTCAGGACCCCAAATCCTGGCCGGTTTGGAGCATGTAAGCAGGACTTGTCCAGTCCAGCAGTGGCTTTGGGACAAGGCCCAGTGTCAGTGACTATATGACTATTCAGTAAAATGAATCATTTTTGCTAAGGGAGACTGTTTTACATTTTCAGTGCAGGACTTCTCCCTTATCTCACTGGCCCAGAGCCATCTTGGTTCAATGAATCCTGAACCTCACCACGTTGATCCAGAAGCCCTCCACATGTTCTGTACACACAGCTATGATCATCGTGTTCACAACAGTTTTTGTGTGCTGCTGTGTTTTCACCCAAATGTTGTAAGCATTTCCTATTTATTATTAAATGCTCCTTAACTATCTCTTGGAAAAGTTGCCTCACATTCTCTGAGTGAGGTTATCTGTGCCTTATTCTTTTAAGTTCAAAACTCTGAGGTTTAGAAGTTACCTTGGGTGGGTAGGTGGGGCCAGAGCATGTTGAGTAACAACCATGGGGAATAGGTGCATGTATTTATTCTCACACGTGCAGCATTCCACACCTCTGTTCTAGACACTAGGTTAGGTGTTAGCAGAAAGAGGAGGTCCAAGGGACACATGACCCTTGCCCTCAGGGAGTGCGGGGGAAGCTGTGAGAATGCCAAGAGATTCAGAGGAGGCTAGAAGGATTCTGGCCTCCATGGAAAGGGAGGAAGTAGGATTTGTGAGCTGAGTCTTGGTGACCCCCAATGTAGGAGGGGGAGAAGATGAGAATCTTGCCCAGAGAACAAAGGAAAAGCACTTGAAGAAGGCAGGAGAGAACCAAGAAAAAGCCAAGAAGCCCAGGTTTCAAGAGAGAGAAGATGAGGTTGTCAAACCCAACTGAAGCCGAGGCGTGGGTCTAGGTCAGTCAGTGTGGGTATTTTTCATTCCTGTGCATTTGTGCCCTGCATACTGACTGAACTGCTTTTTGGAGGGCTAGATCAGGGCAGGGTTTGCCTAAGTTAAGAATAACCATCCACAGCCTGCTGATTTCCCCCCTCACCAAGGCAACAGGTGAAGGATCAATTCCAGAAAATAAGTGAGAGGGGAATGGGAGACAATGAAATGGAGGAGTTAGGTCACGGTTTAGAATCAAACCAACCAGGTGTGGGTATGGCTCTGCCTCTTACCAGCTGGTAACCTTGAGAAATGTTCCCATCTTCTGAGAGTGAATGTCCACCTCTGTCAAATAAGTTACCCGACAGGACCCCCAGGAATCGGAGAACAGTCTTCGGAACTCTCCTCACAGGCCTTGCACTTTATGCATCATGATGTGGACCTTCCCTTGGAGGAGCACAGTGATGGCGGGGAGGAGCCTGGATTACCAGGATAGGGCAGACAGATTGAGTCGGCGTGCCTTTTACTTTCCTTCTTTTGGGCTAAATAAGGGAACCTATGCAGGTAGAGGGCAGCCAAGGGAAAAGGAGAAGCCAGGTAGGAGGCAAGTCCCCAAGACCAGGTAGAGGGGGACTGAGGGAGCTGGGGCAAGGCCAGCAGGGACAGTAAGGAGATCAGCTCCAGAGAAAGTTACTTCTGGGTAACACCATGTCAGGCAATGAAGAGCAGGGCTCTGGATGAG